AAAGATGAATTGGGCCAATAATGCTAGTCTGAGCTAGTCTCCTATTCTACTTCAATATAATGTAAACAGATCAACTCAGATTTGAATTTCAAATTTTCCGATGGCCTGGCAGGCCGGCCTGGTGGCAGCTCTGATGTATATCAGCGATGTAAAAAATAAAACATGTTTTTACCATAGATGTATATTAGGATAGAAGCAATCAAATGATTTAAAACTTCCATAATTAACTAATTTGATTAAGGCCTGTATCTATTCAATTTGAAATCGAAAGTATTATGATGTTTTAATATACAATGCAATGTATATCATTAAATTAACAATGAAATTTTTTCATTTCAAACGATTCTTATAGAATTTTTGTTTTTTTTTCTTATGTTCGAAAATTTGTTTGATTAAAACGATGTTGTGCTTTCATTTATTTATTTAGATATCTGAACCAGAACAAACTCTTGAACTTTTATCAACAATTGAAAAGTTTATTTTAACATTTGTAACATATATTGGTATTTGTTTATCTATACTTGGTCTTCTTATAACATTAATTACTTATGTAATTTTTCGGTAATATAAAATCTGATATATTTATTTAATTTAATCTCGAAATTGTTTCCTGTTGAATTTTTTGTTTTTTAGTTATTCACCAAAGAATCGTTCTCATATATCTTTAATAATGCTCTGTTTATCAATTTTATTTGTTAATTGTTTTTATATTCCGTTTAGTCTTACACAATCAAATTTATCAAAAATAAAACAACATATTTTGTGTACTATATTCGGTTTTTTATTTCATTATTTTTTCATAGCATCATTTATGTGGATGTTAATTATGGCTATTGTTCAATATATAAATTTTGTTCGAGTATTTAATGCACATATATCACATTTTTTAATTAAATCGTGTACAATTGGATGGATTATACCATTCATATTTCCATGTTTTGTTATTTTCACAGGTTCAAATGGTGGTTATACACTTGAATATAGATGTTGGATTAATAGTCAAATACTTTTATATTTTACTTTTCTTGTACCTATTTCTATTATTGTTATGTGTAATTTAATTATATTTGGATTTATTCTAAGAAGTATATTTCATCATAATATTACAGTTGTTAAAGATAAAAGAAAATATTCAAAATTTCAAATAGGTGCAACTCTTTGTTGTTTTGTTTCAATTGGTAAGTAACGGATGATTGAATCATTTTTCAGACAAGATGTTTATTTTGTTTCGAAAGTAGTTGAATGGAAAATTCTTGTATTTTTTACTATTGCAATTCAAAACTAATAGTTGCCATCTTTATTTATATATCAGCTTATAGATTAGAAGCTATTCTAAAAAATACTTGTAGTCTCATTTGAGTAAAAGATATAGCTTAGTTCAATATTATATCTTTTTAAAGAAATATCCACTGTGAGAAATGATAAATTTGAACAATTTTTTACATGTTTGGAAAGAGATTTATAGGCTAAACAAAATTTTGATAGTTCACGCTTCAAAATAATTTTTTCATTACTCTCGAATAAAAACTAAGGCGAAATTTCTAACAAAGGAATGCCTTCAAGTGTGACTCGCCGGTTGAGTTTATCTTTTACTCATATGTAGGGTTCAGTGAGACTTGAAGCATCCTAAGAGAATTTGTTTTCGTGAAAAGTCATTCTGGAATTATTACTATTTTACTGATTTTTCGACTTTTGTACTGTCCTGAAAGATTTTTAGTCGAAATGATTGATTTCTTCTAGAGATATTAAATGCTGAAGAAAGGTTTGAGCTGCTTTCTTTTCAATTAAAAAGTCACATTTTTCCTTATTTTATAGTTGAAGAATAGATCATTCATTTTAGTTACTCTGCTAATACCAGACTGTAAGTGTAAATAGTTATAACTTCAGAAAGACTCCGTATGAACCTCGAGGATTTTTTCTCGTAAGGTCATATTTGGAAAGAACATAAAATCGTAACTTTTGACTAATGAAAAACTCATGAAGAGTGTTTTTTTTTTGACTCAAGTAATTAATTTCTTAGTTTATTCGATTTAATTTTAGGATGTACTTGGTTATTTGGTATTCTTGTATTTATTGAACCAAGTTTTAATCATCAATTAATTTTTTGTATATGCAATTCATTTCAAGGTTTTCTTATATTTCTTTTTCATGTTTATTTATCAAAACCAAAACGAGCATTATGGCAAACATTTTTTATTGAACGTGGATTTCTTCGACGTTCTCATACATCTCAAGAACATAGAGATCTTATGACAATTAGCTATTTAACTAGTAGAAATAATAGTGGAATAATACCTCCTGTCAAATTTCGTTTTAGTCCAACATCAACATCATTAAGTATTGATCCACAAGCATCAATAAGTCAAAATAATTCTAAAAGAAATGAATTATTAAATGTAAAACAGTTACAATTAAATTGTTGATCAAATGTAACTTTTCAACCATACGAAACAAACGAAACTTCAATTACAATAAAGAAAAAACAAAAAACGATTAAAAATACAAATAATTCTTATATTTAATTATAATATTAATTCAGATAGTTCACTGTACACTTTTACTGTTATTTATAAATATAATAATAAATTATTAAAGTTATTTTTGTTCTAACAAATTTATACAAGTATATATTGAATAATTGAATCTATCAGTTTGTATCTTCTATTTTTCTTTCTCAAATAACTATGACCTAATGTACTGAATAAACAATATTATGGCAGTTTTAGTTATATCGTTCTATTTTTTAGAATCTTATTCCTTCCGTAAATTAGCTGCCGCGAAACAAATAGTATACTTGTTCTTCTGATCCAATCAAGAGTATTTCGATCAGATTGTGATTAGCAAGAAAACAGGCACTCTTATGTGTTTCTTTGAATTGATCGACAATAGTGTTAGAAGAATGCCTATCATTTTCCATAAATCAGATTCCCTGAATTCATCCCTAAATGAAATCCACAAATGTGGAAAACTAATCAATTAACGCTCATACTGGTGACCAAATAGGGATTTTAGTTTAGGGATTTCTTTTTTGAATTTAATACATGCAGTATATACAATATACATTGTGATCCAGTGCCATCCTTGTTCTACTATACCAAGCATCTTATACCATGGAAAGCAAGGATTTTAGCAAAAATTATTTTTTGTCAATCAGTCTATGCTGGTCACCAGAAATAGAATAAATAGAAAAATGAAAATCATTAGAAAATATTTGAAGATATTTGGTTGACTAAGAAAAGAAGTACAACTATATTTTCTGGTCACTAGAAATAGAATAAATATGAAAATGAAGATGGATAGAAGAGATTCGGACTAGCTAATCTCATGGGTAGGTTATCATTTACTAGAAATTGTGGTTCCGTAAATCAGTCTCTAAACCGAATTCTATATTTGTAGACTATAAACAAATAAGTAGATACTGGTGACCAAGTGGAGACTTTAATTTAGGAGCTTTTGAAAAACATATCAATATACATAGTTAGAGATGTGGTGCTTCTCGATTGAGAAAGGAACTAACTTGATCATTCAGTTATGCTGAAAAAATCGTTGAAACTGACGCATTTTTTTCAAAACAACAGAGTC